TATCATGCCCATTATCATCCTCCTCTGCTGCCCCCCATGGCATGGCTATGAGGTGTGTCAGTGTGTGTGTGCATGTGTGTTCCAGGGGGTATGCTGCACGAGTTGTATGGGCAGGTGGGTGCTCTGTGTTGCATGTGCAAGTGTGGCTTGGTGTGGGCTGAGCATGTGCTGTGTGTACAGGCGTGGTACAAGAGTGTGCTGAGCAGGTGTCATGTATGCAGGCATGGCTCAGGCATGTGTTGACTGTGTGTTGCGTGTGCAACCATGGCTCAGGCATAGGCTCAGCATATGTTGTGTGTGTAGGTGTGACTCAGGTGTGTGTTCAACGTGTGCTATGTGTATAGGTGTGGCTCAGGCATGTGCTGCATGTGCAGGCCCGGCTCAGGTGTGTGCTGACTGCATGTGGTATGTGCAAATGTGGCTCAGGTGTGTGTTCAGTATGTGTTGCGTGTGCAGGCCTGGCTCAGGCGTGTGCTATGTGTGGAGGCATGGCTCAGGCATGTGCTGTGCATGCCCCAGGTTGCGTGTCCCAGCCGCGCCTCCATCCCATGACAGATGGGATGTCTGTGATCTGCAGATTTTGGTCACTTGGCCACATGTTGTGCTATTATTGGACGCCAAGGGTCCAATCAGGCAACTGCCACCTGTCTGCAGGATCCTATTGGCCAGCACAGCCCCAGGCACAAGCCTATTGGCCAACACTGCCCTAGACATGATCCCATCAGCCAGCACTGCCCTAGATGTGTTTCCATTGGCCAACACAACCCTAGATGAGCTCCCACTTGCCAGCACTGCCCTACACCTGATCCCATTGCCCAACACTGCCCTACATACGATTCTATTGGCCAACACTGCCCTAGATGAGACCCCACTGGACAGCATTACCCTAGCCATGGTCCTCTTGACTGCCATTCTGCCCCCCTGCTTGTCCCTGTGGCCCCCACCAGACCTTGCCCCACAGTAAGTTGTTATCCCCACCAAATACAGCCAAAAAAGCCACCAATGGGAAGAGATGGGTATGCACCACTGCCCTGGTCCAGGACCATGGACAGCACAAGGGGGCAGGGCTCCCCTCCTCCCCCACTGGGTCCCCAGACTCCTGGGGTCTCTGCCCATGGGGGCGGGGGTGGGGGCTACTGCTGCGACCACCCCCAGCCCCATGGAGGCCCGGACACCAGGGTCCACAGGTTGGGGTAGGTGCTCCAGCCCCAGCCCAGGCCTCCTGCCTGCTGCGGTTGCCACCTGCTG